TTTGATTCTAATTCCAAGAATCACATCCGCCTCTCCCATGTCTTTCATTTCAAAATTTGATGACAAAAATGCTTTTGTAAGCTCTACTTGTCTAAGGTCAGTACCAAAGATCAACATGTCATCAACATACAAACAAATGATTACTCCGTTACCGGATTCATCAAATTTGCTGTATAAACACTTATCCGATTGGTTTAACCTGAAACCACTCGATAAAACAATCTCATCAAATCTTTGATGCCACTTCTTAGGTGCTTGCTTTAGCCCATACAATGATTTGATCAACTTACACACCTTATGCTCATTGCCAGGCATAGCAAAACCTTCAGGTTGCTTCATATACACCTCTTCTTCCAAAATACCATTTAAGAACGCCGTCTTAACATCCATTTGGTGAACCACAAGGTTATTAATTGCTGCCAAAGCTATTAATAATATTATAGAAGAGATCCTAGCAACTGGAGCATATGTATCGAAATAATCAATACCTTCCCTTTGTTTAAAGCCTTGAATAACCAATCGAGCTTTAAACTTGTCGATCGTTCCATCAACTTTCATCTTTCTTTTGAAAATCCATTTGCAGCCTAAAGGCTTGCAACCGGGTGGGAGATCTGACAAGATCCAAGTATTATTTCCTATGATGGAGTCCATCTCATCATTTATTGCTTCTTTCCAAAAAGCAACATCTTGAGACTTCATAGCCTCACTATAAGTTTTTGGATCATTATCAATATGATAACAGTATGAGTGTTGGAAATCAATCTCATCTCTTGATCCTTCAACTAAATATATTTGAAAATCAGGACCAAATGATTTTTCAATCCTTCCTCGCTTGCTCCTACGAAGAACAGGTGACAAGTTAGGAGACACAAGAGTTTCATCTCCTTTATTAGTTCCACTTGAACTTGGATCTAAAGTCTTTGGCATATGTATAGACGAAACCGAGTTTCATCAAATATTGCATCTCGTGATTCGATCACAGTGTGAACTGCTATTGAATCATTAGGTTCTATTACATAAAACCTATAAGCTTTGGAATGCTCTGCATATCCAATAAAAATGCAATCAATACCTCTCTCTCCCAAAGTTTTAATTTTGGGTTGGGGTAGTCTCACTACAGCCCTACATCCCCACACTCGAAGATAATTCAAGTTGGGTTTTTTCTTATACCAAAGTTCATAAGGGGTAAGTTTGTTCCATTTATTAGGAACTCTATTTAATAAATAGCAAGCTGTTAACATAGCTTCTCCCCAAAATCCGTCACTCAATCCCGAGTAGGATAACATGGAATTAACCATTTCTTTTAGGATTCTATTTTTCCTTTCTGATACACCATTTTGTTGTGGTGTATATGGAGCTGTAGTTTCATGTATAATGCCTACAGACTGAAAATATACCGGATCATAATACTCTCCACCTCTATCAGTGCGTAATTTCTTAATCGAACCATTTTGTTCTAATTCAACCTCAGTTTTATAAATCTTAAATTTATCTAAGGCCTCATCNTATATCAAAGTAGGAATCAACCCTTCTTTAGACATATTAATCATACGATTATAATGAACATGACCTAATCTAGCATGCCATAGATAACTATCATTTTTGCTAGAACTTGCCATACAAACAGAATTGATAATTTTATTAACTTTATTAATATTAAACATAAACATTCCATTACAGAAATATCCAAATCCAACAAACACACCACATTTTGATAATATATATTTATCGGATTCATACACTTGTTTAAAACCACACTTACTTAAAACACTACCAGAGACTAAATTTTTCCTAATTCCGGGTACATGAAGTACATCCTTGAGATCAAGGTTTTTTCCAGAACTAAACTCTAACACCACTTTTCCACGGCCTAGGATAGGGGCAGTTGACTCGTTTCCCATATGAAGTACAGATCCATCTTGAACTTGCTCATATGTAATGAACCATTCTCGATCTCTGCAAACATGTGTTGTTGCGCCCGAGTCAATCCACCAAGCCACTTCATCATCCTGCACATAAAATGCCTCATAAATTTTTGATACATAATTCTTATTAGAATATGGTTTAAAATCAGAAATTTGACATTAATGAGTGGATGGACCTTGGTCCTTAGACCCTTGTCCCAAACGGTTCTGTCCCGTTTTATTCTTATCCTTTCCTGCTCGGCAATCACGACTTAAGTGACCCGGCTTGTTACAATTCCAACAAATGCTCTTAAACTTTTGTTAGATCCATTGTAAGTGTTGCTATTAGAGGAGCGTTTCCTCCAATTTTTCTTCTTAGAACTCACACCTTCCTCCATCATATTGATGGAAGAAGTACCAGCCTCATTATTTTTGGGTTTTTCTCCCTCTTGCGCCCTTAGAGATTCCTCTATGCGCAAATGGCTGCCAAGTTGTACAAGAGACAACTCTTCCTTTTTGTGTGTTTAACATGTGTTTAAAATCTTTCCATGTAGGTGGTAACTTATCGATGATACTCGATACTGAGATGGATTCATCCATCATCATGTTGTGTTGGGAAAATTGACCTAGTATACGAAGCAATTCATTGTATTGCTCCATAACTGGCCTAGAATCAGACATCTTGTAATTATTAAAATTACTAACAAGAAACTTCTTACTAGAAGCATCCTCAGCCATGTACTTTGATTCTAATGCATCCCACAACTCTTTTGCGGATTCGACATTCTGATAAACATCAAAAAGAGGATCTGACATACCGTTGATAATATGGCCACGGCATATGTAATCATCATTTTCCCATTTAAGTTGCTTCCTTGTCTCATCCAAAGACTCATTCTCAACATCCTCCGGCACAGTAGGCATAAGCATGCTTAGAACATACACTACATTCAGATTTGTGAGGAGAAAATGCATTTTCTTTTGCCATCTTCTAAAGTCTATTCCCTCAAATTTATCTAACTTTCCAAACTTTGATGTCATCTCTCGCACTGATACACCAGCCATAATTCACAAGAAAAATACTCTTTAAGATTGTTGGTTAAGTGGGTTGTAACCCAGAAATTTGTGAATTATATACTTAGATAATGATTGAATCGCGCACGAGGTCACTTTCCTTAAAGAGTATTTCGACCCTATTCCAAACCTTTGGGTTACACGAAATCCCTTTGTAGGATAAGACAATCAAAGTCTCACTCTTGTTCTAGGTTAAGATACAAGAGAAACAAAAAGAAGTTTTAGTGTTTATATGTGTTCTTCAAAGATCTTTGATGATCTTTAAANGTTAATCCAAGAGATGCAATGGTTAATACTAATGGTTGCAATGGTTAATGAAGAGTTGCAATGGTTAGTTAAAGAGTTGCAATGGTTAATCACCAAGGGTTGCAATCATAAAGGTAGTTATTACCAAAGGTTGCAATTATCAATGGTTAATCACCAAAGGTTGCAATTGTAAAGGTAGTTATTACCAAAGGTTGCCATTGCCAAAAGTTGCAAGGTTTCATTTATGTAGTTGTAATTGTTCATAAACAATTGCAATGGTTCAAATAAACACTTGCACCCTTTCACATTCACTTAAATATATAACAGATGCAGAGCTCAACGATGAAGAGGAAAAAAGCTTGTTGGATTCAATCAACGTAACCTGACAATTCTGTTACAACGTAACTTCCTTCTATTTACAATAACCGAACCCAGTCTAAATACCAAAAAGTAAACCAGATAACTGAACCATATATTATAATATATCCCCTCCTGAGTCTTTACTCTTTAGCTTCATATTGTTTGGTTGAAAATAAAGACTTGAAACAGGCATACATCGAATCACTGAAAAAACTGTTCAGGAATCGGGATGAAGAGCTTCCGTAAGAACATCATCAAGCTGATTAGCAGTTGAGACGTGCATTGTATGGAGACGACCAACCTTGTTCTATACCATATTAAAACTCTTGATTCATATATGAACAAAGAACTAGAGAGTGAAGATTTATAGCTCAACGATAACACGGTGAAGAAAAATTTGTTAGATTCAATCAATGTAGAATTCAGTTACATCAGTTTATATGTAGGAACTTCTATTTAAAATAACCGGAACAGATTTAAATACCAAAAGTAAACCGAATAACTGAACCACATATTTCTAGTATCACTCACTCTATATTTGACCACATATTGGACTTCCTTTGACACACCGCGAGTAGTTCCAAGACATCAACCCCATGGTCAGCCGTCACTGTTCCAACAACAGTAACCCCACTTTGTGTCAGATCTCTTCCCATCACATATCGGTTAAGTTCAAACAGCTTTACTATTCCCTAAATGGAAAAAAACTGCTTGTTTCTCCGAGCAAGAGTTTGGGCATGAATAGAGTCGATTCATCGCTCAAGTAAACTATGGAGATTCTGAAAAGAAGTGAGAAGAAAACAAACACTTGCATGAGTGACTAAAGAGAAGCCTCAACGGCATACTTAGTCGGATCCTTAGCAGCGAACAAATGCAAATTCGTGTGGGAAATTATTAAAAAAATGGAAGAAAGGTAAGGATAAATCCTCAGTTAAGAGTTATAAGGACATGATTATCGGTGTCCTTAACCCTGTATCTTAGCTCAATTAAAATTAAAAGAAAAAGAAAAATATCTTTTAATGTGAAGGACGTCCTTAGTTAAGAGACAAAAGAAAGGACATGTGTCAAACAAAGTATCATCTCTATCTCTCTCTCTCTCCCACTGATGCTCGCGGAAATTTCACCAGATGCATCTGCGCAACAGATTCTCCGGCCAAAAGCACACGATGGCCGGAACCAACGCGGCGGATTCGAGTCTCTACCAGGTGTTGGTGGAATGGTGCCAGAGGATGGAAACGAGTCAAGCGAGGCTGAGGGAGGATGTGGATGATCTGTTGAACCAGGAGGAGAGGAGGATCGGCATCTAGGCGGCGCCGGAGGCTGATGATGATCGTAACAACCGCCGGATTGCTAACCAATCGACGGATTCCGCCTCAGATATCCCTGGAAAGCGCGGGAATGAGGATTCTTCGTCTCTTGTCAAAATCTCGTGCTCGATTTGCCTCCAATGTGGTCACCAATTCCATTTGGGTATTTCTTTCATTTCCCGACCAATCAAAACTTTCCTTTCCTGTTTCTGGTTTTTTTTTCCCAGATCTGATTCAATTTCATCTTACACCATAATCAAAAATATAATTTTCGATGAATCACTTACTTAAAGGCTTCTCCTTTTGCTTAGCTTATATGTAACCCTTTGTGTATTATCCTCTAATGGTAGATAATTGAAGTATAACAGATGTGAAGTTTCGTATGAACATTAGCTTATGAGAATGTATATTAGCAACTTTAAATCGCCACATGACTATACACTTGTATGAGGATGAAGTGACTGTCTCTAACAAATGTGCCTAGTAGTATCTTATAGCATATCTGCTGTATTCTGTTCCAACATATATACTATGGCTTTAGCTTCAGCTTCCTTTTGCTCGAGTTTTTTTCACACTACGTTGCTCATGAGCTTAATAGTAACACTAAAACTGGTTTGAAGGGTCCTGTAATGGTGGCAGCTGATGGTTCAGATGATGCTGAAAGGGGTGCTGTCTGATTTACCAAATATATATATCATGGTAATGTTCTCTGGGCCTAGTAATAAACAATAGTTAGGGATGTGTATGATGTACCAATATTGCATGGTTAGTAACTGATTTCAGAAGCTCTTCGTCTAATATATTCAGAAGAGTCAAAAGAATTTTAAAAAAATCTCATAGAGGAAAGAAGCTATAAGCAGAGATGGAATCTATACAAAGTCTGTAGGTAAACTCAGAGCAAAACAATTGCTAATCCAACAAGTCCCAAAACCCCAATTCGACGACTGGTAAAAGAAGAAGTAGAACCAGTTGCAGGAGGAACAGCTTGAGATCCCAAAAGAGCAGGAGAAGGTGCCGGAGAAGGAGCAGAGTCAGTGAAAAAAACCACCAGTGTGGTGGCCACCACGAGATGACATGGCAACAATGTGAAGCTTCTCACCTTGTACACAGTTGCTCTTAGAGCCACTGATGAAGAAGAAAGGTCCAGATGATTGATGATTGGTGTTTGGACTGTGTGTCTTTGAGAGCAAATGGGAAGGCCAGAGAGGGTTAATCTCATTGAGCTAGGTCCAGGTCGAGGAACACTCATGGTTGATCTCCTTCGTGTATGTATCTATGCTCTTGTGCTATTGCTACATCCTTGAGATTTCTCTAATTCTGTAAAACTTATGCTCCTGCATCTTTTCTCATGGTATCTTTTGTTCTCTTTTGCTTTCATGAGACAGTACCAACAATAATCATAGCTCATGAGTTTTAAACTTAAGAACCAACAAAATGTCCTACCAATGATCACCATTTTTATTAAAGTATCTTAACAATCTCCCTAACTTACTTATAATAATAAAAAACTCTAAGGACTCTCTAAACAGTCCTATTGATAATCTTACTCTAAGAATTGAGTCCTTATCTACGTGGCGTGTACTAGGGCCGGATCCAATATGTGTTTCGCGTTAATTATTGTATCTTTATGTTTAATTATGCAATTAATAAAAAAATTGAAACAAATTTGGGGATGAAATTTTTTAATTATTGTATCGTTATGTTTAATTGTAATTAATAAAATTTTAAATTTCTCATGTTTTACAATTATAAATTTCTTTTTTCTTAAGGACTCCTAATAGAGTCCACCATTGGACTATATTTTAGCTTAAAATCCTTAACTATTCAATTAAAAAATTAATAAAATAATACTTAAGGATTCCACAATAGAATCTACCATTTTGGATGCTCTAATGTTCAGCACTGAGCCACGTCCCTTCTCAAATTAATGTTTTCACATTATTAAAAACAGTCTAATGTACATATAATGATATACACTTGTGTATAGAGTATTACACTTATTGATGTTAATTTATTAAGATTCACACACAGAAATGAATAAAAGAAGTTTTAATTAAGAGCATTCATCTCTTCTTGAAACTTAAACATTGCAGCTCTTGGCAACGTAATCATGACTTGGACACGTTCTAACCTCGACGCTGGCATGAACATACTAACAATTTTAGCTATCTCTGGTGGGACCACCGGGACAATATTCACCGGCTCACCCCACCCGAAATCCATGGATCCAAAAATACCAATGTTCCTCCAATCCGCCAAACAAAATCTACCTTTGACTGTTAAATTTATACTGTTTTCTGTGTCTGCAAGCTCTTCCTGGAGATAATCTTTATCTTGAGCTTTTTTCTTTGCTTGTTTTAAGAACTTCACAATGTCGGAGATGATAAATAGTTCTACTTCTTTAACGGTTGATGACACATATATATCTATGTATGCATTACCGTAGTATCCGTCGGGCAAAGGTTAATTCACTACGTTTCGGATTCCTACAGCTAAACCCAAAGATGTGATTCCATCTCGATCCAAACTCAGAGCTTTAACTCTTGACTTCCACAAATAAGCTCCTATGACTTCGAAAGTAGTGACTGCCTCATTAGCGAAGTCCTATTCACTAAGTTTTCTAATAGTGTGACGTTTTGATTTGTAAAAATGGTTAGAGCATTTCAGTTGAAGACATCTCACTGAATATTTCCAATAATAGTAGTATGGAGAAATGAAAAAAGTTTCATTTATAAACTTAAGAAGTTGATATATCTATAAAATATTTGTCTTTTATGAATGGTCAATTTTGAAGAAAAATCTATTATTAATTAATTTTAATAAAATACGGATATCTTACAGCAATCGAAATTAATAATCACATGGATAATGCTCCTAGATAATTCCACATGCAAGGAGAATCGATTCCCCGGATATACTTAGGACAATTCTTTCAAGTGGGAACCACTAAACCGCTCCTTAGTCAAGCTTTATTAAACCATTCCGTTAAGAAAAGATTATTTATAATGTACTTTTAATTTATCTATTTCGTTTATCTATATGTGTAGCTTCTTTCTCCTCGGCATTACCAAATCTAATGAAATTTTCAAAACTACGTGATCTTGTGTAGTACACATACCCAATCATCAGTAGGTAAGTAGGGTGAAGCTGCCGTGTCTTCTCCAGGAACAAAGGGAATTTGCTGGCTTTCTTTAGGCCTTCCCACTAGCCTCTCTCTTTCCCAAACTGTTGGCGCTTGGATACCATTTGTACTGTTATGATATCCACTTGTTACGGAAGCTAAGCTCTGGANATCCACAACATCCACTATGAAGTATCGGAAAACACCTCTGATGTGGTTTACAAGATCATTACTCTCTCTTTCCTGGGTATGCAAACCCTAGAGAGTATACAAGAGATAATACAAGAGATTACATGGCTAAGAGCTAAGACTAGAATACATATAGATCTCTAGCGTACTCTATCTCTCTAAGAGATGCCATGGAAGCACTCCTCTGAGGCTTGAGGCTCCAGCCTCCAAGAGGCGTAACTTGTGCTTAGTGCTTGGAGATCCCTGTCGTGATCTCTTCCTCCTTGTATTGTCAACACTTAACCTAATGGACTTTAATGAATAGCCCATAAGTTGTCCGCGCGTAACTTGTCCAAAGCCGGCCCAAGTTGAACACGCCTGATGGGCTTTGACCAAACCTCAACAAACTCCACCTGTTTGGTTAAAGTCCATAACCCTTCCTTTGTGTTGATACCTCTTATTCTGCTTCTCCTTGTCTTCTCTTATCTCTTATCTCTTCTCACTTCTCCCAGCTCCATCTTGAGCTAAGCTTGAAGTTCCTTCTTGATCTTCTTGAAACCTGCATAAGCTTCAACTTATACACCACAACTGCTTAAGTAGATTAAACACTTAAATCCACTCAGCTCCATCAATGAACATAGACATCATGCCTGATGAAAGGTATGTGACAATCCCATTGCCATTCTGAATTTCCATCACCTTCATCTAGTGTCTTGAGTTGCAAACCCAGCTGCTACACTCCAAGTGTCAAGCTCAACTCCTCATTGACGCTGTGTTACTTCATATATTATTACTCCTCGTGAACTTATCAACAACACAACCTTGCTGTCAAAATCACGAACCTGTTCAACGGCTTGAACAGAAACTTGAACATCTTTCTGCAAATTGATTTTCTCCTCGGCCTTTCGATTCTACTCATGTGCACTGAGCCTTGAATCAAAGTCCTTGAATACTGTGCAACAACCTTCGAACCATATATGCTTCAGACCTGAAACAACCTCTGATTCTCTACCTGTTTAAAACGCTGCAGCCTTGAACACCTTTGTACCGCTGTTACTCTGAACAGAACACGCCATCCAACCATCACTGCTGGACAAACTTTTGACACAACCTGGTGAAACCACCATGCTTCAACAGAACCTTTATGTTACACAGAACCCTTTAGAATCAACCGCAAACCTTGAAGTCACTCATGCTCCATATCGCTGAAACAGTCTTTGACTTACCCTTGATGTTCCTGAACAGATAGCACTTGAGCATCACTTTGTACCGCTGCACACTTAGCAGGATACGCCGCCTAAAACCATATGATTAGGAAGACTATCGACACAAATATCTTTGCTTCACCATCTGATCAAACTGTTCTGCAACAACAGAACCTCCACTAACAGATTTAGGTCCCACTGCAAGTTGAATGAACTGAGCCTCATACCATCTAGTCCATGATATGCCTTGGCTCTCCTTCACGAGCTACCTGTGATATCTTATCTAGAATCTCTGATATCCCTCCTTTACTTAGCTGTGAATTCATTCCCTCAATACCCTTCTTGTACTGAGATGTCTCCAAAAAACCGAAACCTGTGCATCACCATCAACGACCTGAACACACATGTTACTCGTTGAACCTTGAAGAGACTTCCTAAATCTTCCCCTGTGATGCAAACATATATCTTGAACTCCATATGTTCCTTTCTTTAAATGCAATCGGTTTTGCTTTGCATTTAAACCTTCATGAAGCTTCTTTCAGTTCCATGACTTGAGCTTAGATGAGCCTGCTTGTGGAGAACAAGTCTTACCCTTCCTGAGATGGACAAACTGTAAGACAATTCCCTGCAATCCCTGCAATGTCTTCCCACAGCTTCTTACTTTGTTTCATCTCACCATTCTTCATCTTCACCGCTCAATACTTCAGTTTAACTAAGCACTTCACCACGTTTTACCTTTGCATCATACTCGGCTCCTCTGTCTCACCTTCACTGCAGTGTACTCTTGATACATATGCCGTTTTCACTTGTCTTACCTACAAGTAACTTTATGTAAGACTCCTCTTACAAACACTTTCTGATGCGCCTTGTACTTGTTAACTGATCTTGACACTTCTGGCCTTGACACCCTGAATATATCCATGACCCTCTTATCATGGTATCAAGTTCCCTTTCAGCTCTTACTCTCTTGAGCTGACCAAGTTGCTAACCGAAACTTTTACCCTTCAGCTGAAACAATCAAGACATCTTCTAAAACAGAGAACCTGTGACTCACTCCACTTAGAATCAGATTATATATCCCTGATGCATCATTCCTCATATAATCTCAGTGACTCCACCTGAATCAAATAACCTTTAGAAGTACCATGTCTCTGGGAATTAACCAAGTTTCTGCAACTGTTCGTGGTTCCTGTCGGCCTTTAGACAATTTTTCTCATCGTCAACGTATGTGATGCTCCTGAGATAATCCTTACAGCTTCTTCTGTGTCAGACTCGGACCCATGATGAGTTTCTCAAGCTGTAACTGTACCTGAACCATGACCTGTTCAAGCAAGAAGTTCCGACCTGGTCAAGTCTGCAAATTTCTCCTATTGCTTCTGAGCTTCCTTTTTGTTCGAGAGCTCCACCTTGACCCCTCTGGCCGTGACACCAGAACGGCGTCCCTTACTTCTCCTCTGAATCTATTCATCTTGAACTTCTGACTCAGACATCCATGACGATCCTCTAAGGTATAACTCACACATGCTTCTACTAGCTGTGGTAGCGACTTCCTGCTTCTTGAACAAGTGTTGATGACTGTTGTCTCATACCCTTTACTCTCAGGATTACAATCAGTCGTAACAACCTGTTCAACCCGATTCTGCATGCGCATTTTCCTCTGCCTTTGACAAGAATCTTCAAGCTACGTCTAACCTTGAATCGCCTTTTCTCTTAGGTTTTCCTGTCACTCACACGACCTCACTAAAGCTGCTTCATGTTGTTACCACAAATTGCCATTTGCTCCAACATACCCTTGTGTAGGCTTTTACACACTTTGTCCTTGCTCTAGTTTCTTCTTCGTGGAGGTACAACCTGTCTTAGCCACACTAATTTGGTGACTCCTCTGACTTTCTTATAGTAGCCAGAAACTTTGCTTCTCATGCACCCTCGAGTCTAACTTGAACTGACCCAAAACAGAATCACCTCTGCTTCGTCATACTGTTGTCACACGACAACCAACCTGTGCAGCTGCAAGATCCGTTGATCATCTTTCGCAAAGACAACCTGCATTCCTTGTGATCTCTGAGAAACTTCAGTCCCTGAAAGATTGATGACCTTTGATTACGTCCCCTTAAGCCTAGCTTTGACTTAATATGAGTCTGTCTTTAACTTGAGATATCCTCCATCCCAGACGACCCAAATCAATCTCCAACATTAATCACGAACACGCCCACTTGTGCAGCTGATCTTGCTGCAGCTTACGCGGGTCTTCCCATTCTTGCAAACACCGCTGCATCCCTTTCAAGTGTCTCATCATGATTTCTCAAACCTGAAACCATCACGTGCATGTAGATCCTCCTGTGAACGTTTCTTCCTATGTCCCTTCCTGACGTCGTCTTTGTCTACCACAAAACAACCGCCATCTGCTTCTCTCTCTGATGTTGCATATCTTAAGCATCATCTGTGGTTCGTCACACATGATGTGATTGTGACTACAAATTTACTGATTCTTCTTCTCCAGAATTTATCAATCTGATGTCGATGCTACCTTGAAGCTCTTACGGAACCTGAATCACCACTGCCTCAAACCAGAAGCCCTTTGACTCAATACCATAACAAACCTCAATAGCCTGTAGACACCAAACTTCTTCTCCTGAGAATTTCTTTTGTAACAACCTGAATGAACACCTTGTCTTGAACACTCTCTGAACCGCTGATGTTGCCAACAGAACCCGCCGCTTAGCTCAACT